AGACACCACCTCCTTCTGAGAGGTGTTCTCACTAATTCCAGCAGATGGCAGTGCTGCATAATATGTTTAAAAATGCTTTTCTGTGCTTTTTTAAGCCAATTTACAAATGACTTTTTTTTTACAGTTGGTTGAAGGATAAATATTGAAGTATAACCTCATAGCCTGAAATTTTCTGCTTTCAACTTGGAGAAGGCAAATGCAACCCTCAAATCCCAGCAATCCCCCAAAGTCCCAGACACCCTTCTGGACTCCCTCATCAGAACATTTATGTCAATTTGTGCTTGATTCTGCATTGGCCTGAAGTGTCTGCTGGAGCCTCAAGTTGCCACACAAAGCAACTGCCCCTCATCCCCTTCCCCACATCCACCCTTGCCCTGAAAAGAGTAGGGGCTGATTCCAACCTGTTCAATCCCATCTTCAGGTTCCCCAGAACCACTTCAAATTTCTACAGCCCATAATAAATTCTTCCTCTTCTAAACCCCAGAGTACCCATGCTCTTAGCCTCAGGTAAATATTTAATAACTTATTCTTGTTGTCCTTACCTGAGTTAATTTCAATTTGCTAATTAGAAAGTAAACTTGAGATCATGGAGAGGGTGTAGGTGTATTTTTAATTCCCCACCATATGTAACATGGTGCCAGATTCAAAAGAGATGCTTAAAAAATAGTTGTTGGTTGAGTAACTCTTCTCACCAACTCTTAAAAATGTCTGCCAGCATGCTATCTAATTTTCAGTAATTCCCTGTGATTTAGGAGCCAGCCATAGGACTGGCCAGGAAAAATGACTCCAGTCAGGGACTTCTCCTGCACCTGGCCAAACTCTGGCATAGAAATTTTGTGTAAAAGCAGCCTGTGTGCTGCCTGTAACTGAAACCCCATCTTTTCATGTTTGGGGCATGTGCCATCCACCTTTTGCCAACATTCCAGGGCCCCCTTGTGTAAGCACTGCCCCTTCCACCGGGTTTGCATTCATTTGTGCACAACAGGTATTAAATTAAGCCTGTCTGGATTGAACATAGTAGTATCAATTTTACATTTGGTTCTCAATCAAAAGTGTTAGTTATTTAATCTCTTTCTACCAACTCTTCTCTTTACCACTTCTATTTTCTTTCCTAAACCTGCCCCATAATACCCGATGCCCTGGAGCTCCTGCTGTTTTTGTGACACCTCTCAAGGTGTCCCATTTAGACAGTGAATTAGGAACATCTGTTGTATCCTATCTGTTCTGGATAAAAGACAACTTGCACCTAAGCAAATCTGCACCCCAACCCTCCAATCAGCTCCACCCTTGCTTGTGCTACATTATAATTCTCCTTAGCAGGTTTTTGGTCATTTGGTCATTTGTTCTTCCCACTCATCTATTCATTCACCAAGTATTTATTGAGTGCCTGCTTGTGTCGAGCACTGGAGCCAGTGGTGAGTAAGTATGATCCCTATCCTCAGAAAGCTTGTGGTTTTGAGGAGCAGGTGAAATTTAAAAATAAAGGCAAATGAATATATAATTATAATAAAGAGATGTTCTTTGAAGGGAAAAAAACAGGATGCTATGGGGATGAATAATATGAGTGGAAGTGAGGGGGTAGGATATGTAGTCTTGATTGGGGCAATGGTTAAAAATGGACTCTCTAGGGCAGTGACATTTAAACTATGGCACAAAAGATGAGAAGGAAGTGTACACAGGGATCAACATATGCAAAATGCCCCAGGGTAAGGAGGAGAAAGGGAGGCTTGGTACTTGGAGGAGCTAATAGAACAACTGCTCACTAGTGGAGGAAGCGAGTAGGGGGATACAGCCCAATGGCAGGAACTGCACCTTGCACGACCTCATAGATCCAATGTGGGTATTCAATGCTGGTACCAGACCTGAACGTTCTGTGAGTCTGAAAAAGGCTTTCCCCTTCCCTGTTTGAACTTTAGAAAATACAGTCATATCTGAATTCTACCTCTGCTTGTACAGGAATAGCAAATGTAGAGATCCAGAGGCCTTAGGTGTCTGCTGGACCCTCAGGTAACCACACATAGAGGCTGCCCCACTCCCAGCCTCTTCCCCACCATGACCCACATCCAGACCCCGCTCCAGCCTGTTGTAAAACAAACTCTCGGGGAAGCAGCATAGGTCTTCATCTTTCCTAGGATCGGGAGCTCTAACTCTTCCATCATTACATCTGTCAATGGGCAAAGACCCAACTTGCCATCACAAAAGAAACACATTGATGGAAAAACTTTAAAAGGATTGCATTTAAAATGCTAATTCTAATGCCTTTTAATGTCAACTCGAACCTCAAAAATAAAATGCTTTTTATTTAATTATAGACCAATCTTAGGTCCCAGACCCCTCCATGAGACTTCTGAGTCTTAAACAATTAAGAGCAATAATGAGAGGAATAATGATCACTCTCCTCTAGACCTCAAAAGCCCTTCTCATTGACTTGAGTTTCCTGGGGCAAGAGGGGGGAAAAAGCCCTTTTCACTTTTTTCAGTTATTTGACACTGCCCTAGGCCTCAGGTAGATATATCTGTCGGGGTCTGGGGAGAGGAGAAGAAAATTTTAACTTGTAATTCAGGCAGTCAAAGCCCATATAGTAAGAAAGGTAGGACAATCAGCTTTTTAAGTGATGAGGTGGTTCATCAATAGGTGATACTAACCACGTGCCCTCTGCTAGCATGAACAAATTATTCTTGCCAAGTTCACTTATTTCCTGGCAGCTGAAGGAAAACATGTGCTGTCAAAATGTTAATATATTTCAAATTGCTTCATCAAGGGGGAGGATAATGGATAGGAAATTATAGACGCTGGGGGATGGGTATATCAAGTTTATGATAATATTCTTTCTACTTTTGTATATGTTTGAAAAGTTCCATAGTGTTTTGTCTTAAATGTCAGTCCTTTTATCATTATTTAGTATTTTCCTATTCCCCCTGCAAAACATTTTTCTGTGCTATGGGACAAAATTTCAGTCATCTGTCATTGGTAGCTGCTCTGGCAATAGGTATAAAAATCTATTGTTTGGTAGGTTAAAAAATTTAAAAAGACTCAAACGATCAAGTGTGAAGAAACACAGGTGTCTACCCTGTATTCACACTATTTCATTTTAATAAACAATTTCAGTATTAGACCTACTGGGACCAAGGAGGTGAGTGCCAAATAGATGTTATTTTCATCATCACTGGCAATGGTGCATGCTAGAAGTAGGGGTTTTGATAGAATCTCTAGGGAAAACTGTTGCAAATCTCCAACCTAGAATCTTCCCTTCTATACTGATTGAAAGATTGAAGCATAATCTGTGATCTGAGTAGGCACAAAGGGAAGGACGCAAGCTTCAGCATCAGACAACATCCCAGTTTTACAGGATTTCAGACTAGAAGCACTAGAGTGCAGTGGCCACTGAGCTGTGGGAACTGGTGCCTCTATTTCCATATCTACGATATGGTGATGATATAGGTTATTATGGGGATTAAATGAGACAACACGTAGGCAGGGCCTAGCATAGTAGCTAGCACATTGAAAGTACTCAATCAAGGATTTTGGTTTTTATAAATCATCTGATTACTTATCACATCTTAAAATGCAGACTACATCTTAGCATCATCCAGATGGGCCCACTCACCATCCAAGCCAAACCCCTTGTCCACGGGAAAAATGTTTTTCCGAACATATGACTATAAACTCATTTTATTTTGCTTTTGAAATAAGAAAATATTAGCATAAATATCTGATCTATTAGTGAAATTACAGTCTGAACAAAGGACTCAATGGTACAGTGTATTTACAAAAGTTAGATAATTTCTTCTGCTTTTCTATTCAGTCATTTCCAAAGTAGAGTTTACAGTGGTATTAAGAAATATTTAATAAGTAGAATCATCCCACAACAATTGTGTTCCTAATTCCACAAAATATATCATTCCCATGAATTCCTCAGTTTTGAAATCAACAGTATGGGCACATGGAACATTAACAGTAAAATTCTGTGTAGATGACAAAATGGTAGACTTTAAGATCTACATTTTTCTTACGGATTTTCTAAAAATGCTGCTCCACAAAGGAAAGAAAAATGCAAATTTATCCATGTATAAAGTCAAATATCCCAAACGTTTTCATACAAATCTTTAAAATCTCTGATCACTGTGCTCATTTTTCGTAAATACTTACAATACTTTAGAGGAATTATATTGCAGAACCACATAAAATTTTACTGTGATCATCACAATAAAAAATATGTATAAGAATGTTTGTAGACATTTATATTTTTAAAAATCTCTAGGCTTGAAGATTCAAGCAATCATATTTAAGGTAAAGTGCTATTCCAAACATGTATAACTTCATTTTAACTTTGATTTTTTACAGATATTTCCCCAATTTTTTAAAACCGCAAATGACAAAGTAAATGGGTTCAAAACTAAATTTTCAAACCAAGTGAAGATACAACAGATAACATTCAAATTTCTCTTTGGAAAACAACTATGAAAAATGATCATTTTCTCCCATCAAATGAAGTCAATATCTCATTCAGAAAGCAATGTATTAATACGTGATTTTATGAAATTATCCAGTTACAGGCAAGCACCCTGCTGAGCATGCTCAGTGACCTAGGATCGTCCTCGTTGCTGTGTTTTTTTTTTTTTTCTCAGCACTTGTAAGGTCTCTTGGGGGACAGTGGATCAAATAGCCTTCAAGGTCAAAATATTTTCTTCATATTTGGACTTTAAACTCTTTTTGTTTTTTCTTTTTTTTTGAGACAGAGTCTCACTCTGTTGCCTGGGCTCAAGTGCCATGGCGTCAGCCTAACTCACAGCAACCTCAAACTCCTGGGCTCAAGCAATTCTTCTGCCTCAGCCTCCC